TCATGTAGCCTAGCACCCGGCCTGTGGAGGTGGTGGAGGTGGCTCTCAGCATTTCCCTAGGCCATGGTAGGTAGAAGCTGATCAACTGAGGACTCTAAGCAGGAAGGCATGCAGTTAGACTGAGTTCTCAGAAAGTCCTGTTTGAATTTAACCTCAGCAGCTCTACCACTCACCCAGATGGGTGGCATTAACCAAGCCACTTGCCCTCTCTGCTTATATCCTGAGCTCTACGATGGGGACAACAGTCCCTATCCAATAGGGCCACTGTGATAATGAATGGAAGAATTCAAAGATATTGGGAAAACAAAGGCCTTAATAAGTGACAGTTATGATGATGATGATAGTGGAAAAAGAGGGAGGAGATAAGGAAAAGAAGAAAGAGGAACAGAAGAAGACAGGCAGGAAAAGATGAGAATGATGATTATTGTCATGAGGCAGAAGAACCAAGAGGTTGCAGATGCCAGTGGCGGAGAGAAGCAGTGTGGTGACTACGACACAAGGCCCACTCCTGCGAGCGGAGGAGCAGTTGTCAGACATGGTCCAGGGAGGGAGCGTGAAGTCCTCCTGGCCCTCATAGGCAGTGAGAGGCAGGAGAAGGATGGCTCTGGCCACTGGAGACGGCTGCAAAGGGAGTGCTACCCCAGGAGGGCTCAGCTCAGAGGTGCGGCGAGGAGTCCGGAGTGAGGCTACGAATGCTGTTCGTGCAGTTGGGGCCGGGTTGTAGGCTCTGCCCTGACTTTCCCCAAAGGGGAGGTAGTACGCAGGCTGGGATCTCCTGGGCAGCCTTCTCAGGCCGTAGCAGAGAAGAGGCTCAGGTGAAGATGGACACCCGATCCCCAGGTTGGGCCGGGTCCAGTGAGGCCTCACATTCAGATATGGTGGCCCAGTTTACCCTGCGGATTTCCCAGACTGCTTGCCCAGCTCTGCTGCTGCCCTCACTAGGAGGCTCCTGTCTCCTCTCCCTTTAGGACTGGCCTCTGCGCGTTTTAAGGTCACTGGCTAGGTCAGGGCCTACATCCTGGACAGAAAGATGCTTCACGCCCCAGGGCAACAGCGCTTTCTAACAGTAACACCACCACCAGCAGTCGAAAATAACAGGTAACATTAAAAACTGCCCTAGACTGGGAACTTACTAGGTTCTCTGTGCCAGGTGCTTCTCTGTTTCACCTTATTTAATTTTAAAACAACCCTAAAAGATTGGTAGTACCACTACTATTGTGAGGCTAAATCTAAGAGGGCAAATAGTTTGCCAAAGGTAACCCTAGCTAATAAGTACCAGAGTCTAAATGTAAAGCCAAGTCTGTATAACTTCAGGGCCTAAGCAGGTTTCCATCTCCTAAAACAAACGGTTGGTCCTGAACCACAGCCCTAGCCCCCGAACATGAATGGAAGCCCTGGCTGGCCTCTGCAACCTTGCCCGTTTTTCTTCCTTCCCCAGAAAGCAACTTACTACTGTTGGTCAAGCCTTACTCAAAACTATCCAGGGGCCAAGCCCAGCCCTCAGGCCCTTCCTTCCCCCTGCAGGGCTGGGACCGAACCACTCTCACCCAGTCCAATGAGTAGATGTCATTTCACGGCACGGAGTTCCTTCTTCTGTTTTTTTTTTTTTTGGTTTTTCTCTGGTACCGGGAACCAAACTCACGACCTTGCGCTTGCCAGGCAGGCGCTTTGCCACTGAGCTAAATCCCCAGCCCCTGAGCTAAATCCCCAGCCCCGGAGTCCCTTCTTCTGGATAGTGAATGGGACATCTCCAGCCTTCATCCAACACCAGGAGGAGGACGCATAGCCCACAGCACTTGAGACATGCAGCTCAGTTACTATAGTATTATTCAGGGTCCTAAATGGAGCGTGGTCTCTCTGGGCCTCCGCACATGCTGTTCCCTTTGCTTCTAATACCTTCATCTAACTCACTCCTAACTCTTCCTTTAGGGCCAGGTCAGGGGTGCCTCCTCCAGGAGGCCCTCTCTTGCCCGCCCCCCAAACCTGCTCCCAGGACTGCGTGTCTCCCCATCATGATATCTGCTACACTGCACCACCAGTGTAGTTTCAGGATGTCACTTCTACTAGACTGTGAGCAACTCTGGTTTGGGAGGAGTGCTGATTCATCTCTGGATTCCCAGGGAATACATGGGGGATGGCGGCAGACATGCCTCCGAGGAGAGGTACACAAGAGCTGGAGGTAGCGCTTCTCACTGTGGCTGTATCCGCAAGTCCTGGGATCCACCCTCCCTCCTGGCCTCAACTTCCCTAGGTACTCACCTGTCCACGGGTGCTTTTCTGAGATGCCCTGAACACACGTGGCCTTCCAGGAGCTCCTACACCTGCATGCTAGCTTGGTAAGGCTCTTGGGATGGGAGATAAAGGGCATTTTGACAACTTGTTTGTGGTTATCTGTGCTACCATCTAGTGAATCAAGGAACCATAGGCCATACACGGTGAAGAGCAGAGCGTCCAGCTGGATAAGAGAGCACAGCCACCCTGTCACAGGATGTTTCCTCTCCTCTTGCACACCTTGCCCTTACCATACCGCGGCAGGACTCCAGGTACCAGAAGAGTACACACCGTGAGTGTTCACATAGCTGGCGGCAGGCAGCACCTGTGATTGAGGCTTAACACCTGCCAATCTTGCCCAGCCAGGCCTTGGCTCCAGAATTGAGCTGCCTCCTGCCAGAATTTTGCAGGTGAGGCTCCAGACAAGTACAGAGCTTGCCAGCAGCCTGAGGCTGCAGGCTAGAAACACCACTGCAGAAGCAGGGCAGGCCTGTGGCTGGGTCCTGTGGCAAGGTATCAGCTAGAAGCAGCCTGGCTCATTTTCACCTGGGTCTCAGTAGCCAGAGAAGTGAAGCAGAGCATGGGTTGGTCTTGGGAGTGCCTTGAGCTTGGGGTGGAGAAGGGCACTAAAGTAGGGGGCCTCTGAGGCAGCAAGGGACGCAAGCAAAGGCCACTCTGGGTAATAGGAAAGGTCAGGCCCTGGCATTCACCTGACAGCTCACTCCAAAAGCGTATGCCTTTTTTTTTGGGGGGGGGACTCTGGCACCAGGGAAGGCCCGCAGCACTATGGAGGACTCATCTCCATCTCCCCTTCCCCTTCCCCTCACCCCGACCCACCCTGGGATAGAGTTCTCACTCACACAAGGCTGGTCTTGGGTCCCTGTGCATGGCAGGACAGGACTAAGCAAGGGTCTGCACGTGCCTTTCTCCTGCAGAACCTTGGCCTGCCTGGGCTGGGAGCTCCTCAGGCTTCCTGTGTCCCCTAGCTGGCTTCCTCCTGCTTCTTTCTTTCTTTTCTCCCTTGGATGAGCTGCAGGAACCCTGACTTGACTTGATGCTCTTGCAAGGAACAAGCAGCAACACCCACTGGGCTGCTCTGGACCCCTATGGCCTGCCCTCCTTATCTGGACTGCCTGGCTTTTCCCAGTCCACCTAGCAGGAAGTAGGAGCTGGTGTGTGAACAGATTCCAGATCATTTATGGTGATGGGGTGCTGAGAAGCAAAAACCAATGGGATCAGGGCCCTGCCCTGAGGGAAGCCTGGGGTACTGACATGTGTCCACAGGGAGAGAAAAGAAGTGCCAAGAGGGAGTGGGCATACGGGCAGAAGGCTAGAGGGAAAAAGCAGCCCTCAGGGTCCCCGGGGTTCACTAAGGCAGGCTTAATTTCCCTCCATTTTCCCCTTCAAAATGTTTCCCTGTGACTCCAATTCTATTGCCCTCAAGACAAAGAGAAGGACTCTGGGGACACTGGTGACTCAGGCCCTAGGGTTCTGAGAACAGGGGCTCCTCCCATTCTGACCTGTTGTGTGGGCACTGGGCCTTGTTTGAAGCTCAGGATGTCTCAAACCAAATGATCACCCTGCTGCCTCCTTCAGCCTGGTTCCTGGATGGGCCCACTTTCCCTATAGTTCCACCTACCTGAATTTCTGGACCTGACTTCTGTCTTCTCTCTTGCTTGCTACCTACTTGATACTCTCTGAACTTGGCCTTGCTTGGGAAAGGGCTGTGGAGTTAAATCAAATTATACTGAGACTTCCCCAAGCAGGATAAGCTGTTCCCACCCCTAACTCTCCTCTGAACCTCCAGAAAGAACAACTAGCTTCTTATAGTAGGCAGAGGGCCATCTGTCAGCAATCTCTGGTAAGAGGCTGGGGTACTGGAAGATGAATGACCTGAACAGTGCAGGACCCTTCCCTTGGGGTGGCTGGTGACGGACAGCTGGAGGGGAGGGGATGGACGTAGACAGGCTGGCAGGTGTCCCTGCAGGCTGAGCTGGGGAACAGGTCTCAGGAGGCGATTCAGTAGGTGGTCTACTAACAAGCAGTCTCACACTACTCTGCCACAGAAGCTTCCTAAAGAAACGAGCCCCGGCACTTGCCTGCCTAGAACAGTGACTACAGAATCTGATCACACCCAAAGAATAGGGCCAGACTCTGGCAGTTCAAGGACCCAACTACAGCTTAGTGCTAAGGTTACAAAGAGAGGTCCACACGTAAGCTTGGAAGCTGCCACCCTCAAATTGAGGGGGCCAACTGTCCCTGAAAAATGGCCTGAGTACTCAAACAAAGCCTTGCTCCTCTGACTGGGAAAGGGGGAGGGACCTGTAAGACCAGAGTCAGAGAGATCTCAGAGGCGGGTGGTGAGGGGCAGCAACAGGGCCAGGGCAGCGAAGAATGCAGACTAGGAGTAACCCTAGGGGTGGCCTTAGAGCTAAAAGCTTTGCTTCGCTGGGGAAGTAAGCCAGGGCTAGCAGAGACTGAGAAAGGGTGTGCACCTGGATATCAAGAGGCAGCTAGCAGGTATCAGGCACTTTGGCTCCAGGAACCCAGCCCAGGAGCCCTGGCCTCTACCCTGGGTTACATTTGCTATCTTTTATCTTTGAGTCATTATTGTTCCTTTTGAAGGCTCCAACTCGTTCTTTGTGGGACTTCGGGGGCTACCTTGGAAGCTGGGGAGGCCAGGGTACAGCCAGGGCAAGGGGAAAGGATCTGAAGCCAGGGTAGCTCACCACTCTCTCCTTATAGACGATGTACTTCAACCACTTGAAGTCCTGCCACTTGAAGCCAGCGAGGACAAAGAGAGAATCGCGCTCATACTGCTCAGGCCTCTGCATGGCGCCCTCCGGGTAGGTGATGCGCAGAGTTGTTTTGCTGCCCACGTCTTTCTCAAAGCCCTTCACTGGTGCTGAGTTCAGTCTATGGAGAGCAGGCCCAGTCAGAGTCTGCGCTGGGCCATGTTTGGGGAGGCACTGTGACTCCAGAATACCGCGGGTGCAGGGAATGGGGTATCCAGGCCACTTCAAAGCCCACCAACCTGCCCGGTGTGGGGGCAAATGCCTGAGGCTCACCCGTCCAGGGCTACAAAGTGAGTTCAAGGCCAGCCTGAACTGCATAGTGAAACCTTGTATCAAAAAGACAAAAAAAAAAAAAAAGCCCACCAACCCAACATTCTTGAGGGAAGCAGCTGGTGCCACTGAGCTCCAGCCCACGTGGCTAGACGGACTAGCGCATTCTCGATGGGGTAGAGGGTCAGGGGTTGGGCCTGGATACTCAGGCGCCCGAGGTGCTGCTTTGGGGAGCTCACCTGACCACAATGTCATAGTCGTCAATTCGCGACCCCAGGGACTTGTTGGCAAGGACAGCTCCATTACCTACGATGATGCAGCGGCGGCAGCGGAGGCTGAGAGGAAGTGGGGAGGCCTGTGAAGAGCCGGTGCCGGGCCTCCTTCCCTCTGTCCCTTTGGTCCTTGACCCTACACCTATGGCCAGGACCAGGCTGGGGTAGAAGCAGCCCAAAAGGCTCCTTGCAGCACTTCTGAGAGGAGTCCAGAACCAGACTGCAGGAAGCTGGGCCCCGGGGCTCTCCAACATCCCTAAGGCCTGATACTTTCAAGGAAAACATGAGCATAGAAAGTTTGGAAATGAACCAGAGAGGTGAGGAGGGGACTCTGGTAAGATGGCATTCAAGGGTAAAGACTCCCCAAGGATCAGTGGGGTTTAGGCAGCCTTAGGGACATGGAAATGGGCTGAGCTTGAAAGGTTCTACCAGGTAAGCAAGACCAGCAGGAGGGACTGGAGGCTCAGGATTAGGGTTTAGTTTATTTTCAACTTGGGAGCCTCCAGACCACCAGGGAGTGCTTTACTTTCTCCTAGCCCTGATCCTGGCGCTTTCTATTGGCTTCAGCGTTATTCTGCCCTGAACATAAAGCCTCTTACCACCAAGACCCTCCGTGCCTTTGCTGGGCTGATCCCAAGCCCACTGCCTTCAGCTCTTACCCTCAGACCTCTGATGTCTGAGGGCTGAGATGTCTTGCCAAGTGCTGCCGGCCCCCAGAGCTGCAAGGCCACTTACCTGCTTCACTCACCCCAGTGTACCTCAACACTTCTGCACACGCTAGCGGCCAAGGGGAGGAGGCTCACCTGTCCAGGGCAGGGGTCAGGCGGTACTCTTTGGTGACTGACAAGATGGCTTTGATCAGATTGTCTGTGGACAGAGGAGGGAAGTGACTGTCAGAGGCGCCCTTAAATTCTCCTAAAACGTTTGCCTCTTACCCTGCTTGAACGCACAAGCTCCTGGGCCAGAATGGAAGTGGAAATGGAAGCGGGGAGAAGCTCTGGGCACAAGGTAAGGTCAGGCCACTATCCTAACACTTAACAGCTTGCCCTGAGCATCACCCGGGCAGTGTGTTTATGTGCTATCCTGAGCGATGTTGGGCAGGTGTCATTTCAACCAGTTGCTTCCCATTTGCACGAGATATATTTGTACCTGTTTTTATATTTCTTGTTACAGCTATACTATCCTATTAAAAATTAATGACACAAATGCAATTTTGGTCATTCTGTATTTAAATAACTGGACAGCTAAGTGGTTAACTCTCTCCTTTGAGAAAAGAGATGGAGACAGGAAATCAAGCAGGCGTATCTCTGCCAGGAGCCAGGCCCTAACACAAGCATGCGTGTCCCTCCCAGGGCTTCTCCACCTGTTGTGGAGACTCATCTGGTTTTCTGAGCCTCTGCAGTTGGGCCCAGGATTTGCATCACTAGGCTAGGATGGAGTCTCCCCTAGACATCAGAGTCCCTAGTCAGAGAGCACAGGGGTCTACCCCTGTGCCCCCGCAAAGCAGACACCCAGGAAGAGACGGGAGACGACAGTGACGAAGACCTTGCCCAGGTGACCACTTGCCTTGCTTTCTGGTACCAGTAGCTTTCCCTGTGCTTCCTCCCTTTTGCACTGCCAATCTCTAATCCTGCCCTTTGCCAGGCTGTCTCTCCTACTTCCCTCCTCCATCCCCTTCAGCCTGGCATCTGCCAACCTGCACTCTACTCAGGCTGCTCTCAGCGAGACCCCAGGTCTCTGCACTCTGAGACTCCGACCACTGTCAGACCTCTCCTCCTTGGCCTCTCTCTGGCTTTGGCAGTGGTGACTGCTCTCTTTCTATACTTTGGTCTAAGGACAGCGTGGTAAGGTAATAAGGAATGTGTAGTGAAGGTACTGGTTGTGGAGTTAAATCCTGGCTCTGCAGATGACTTGCTATCTTTGAGCTTTAGTTTCCACATCTCTAAAATGAAGATAGTAACCCCTAGTTCTCAGAGTTGTTAAGATTTAAGGTAATGAACATAAAGACCTAAAGATCAACTGGTGCCCCCACAATGGAGAGCACTGACTAATGTCAATAAGGATGTAGATGTGCATGAGTGGGACCCTGCAACTCTACTCCTAGGATCACAGCACTGAAAAACTTACCTACTTGCTCAAAGAGACCCATGAAAGAATGTTCACTGCAAAAGTCTTTGCAATAGTGAAATGTTGGAAGTGACCCAAACATCCACCAAGGGAAAACAGATTATATGCGGCCCACAAAATAGTACACAGCCACACCCACGAAATATTACCTAGTCCAAAGAAATCTATAATTTAGAGCTAAAGTACCAATAAACATAAGCAAAAAAATCAGTTTGAAGAATATATACACAATACCATGTATAAAGTTTAAAATCATATGAAATCAATATATTTTAATGGAGATATATATAGATATAGATATATAGATATAGACATAGATATAGATAGATAAGTAAAGTACAGGGATATCAACACCAAAACCAGAATAATGGCCTCCTAGGGGAAGAACATGGAAGGGAAGAGTTACACAGTTATTTTACTATAGCTCATACTTCATTTCTTAGGCTGGGTAGATGATTCCTTATTCTTTTTTGATATTTTTCATGTATAGAAAGGAGGCTTCTCACATACATACATACATACATACACACATTCATTCATTCATTCGCAGGGCCGGTGATTGTACCCAGGGCCTCCTAATGCTAGGCAAGTGCTCTACCAGAGAGCTATATCCGTGGCCCCATGCATTTTATAAAAGGAGTAGCTGGAGACACTGTCAAGTCCAGGCCTGAAAAGCATTCTTTAGAACCTACTGAGGCATCGAGGAGCTGCCCTGGAATGGTGGGGAAGAGATTATTCTTCAGGAGGACATGTTAAATAAGGGCAGGCAGCAGGCACAGCCAGTCGTCCCAGAAGCTGAATGAGAACAGGGTGAGGAACAAATCCTTAAGGGATATTCAATACCAGGTGCCTTCAGATACACCTTATAGTGAGCTTCTGGGAAGGAACGGTGCCCTCTCCCGAACTGTGCCTTTAAAGAAGAGCAAACTGCTACTAACTGGCCCAGGTCAAAGATGTGAATGGGGTGTTTGAGGTGGGGACTCTCAGAAGAAGGGGTACACACAAGTAACCCACTGCTTGCTGGCCAGTGGGCTCCGCTCTGGCCTTCCTTGGCCAAGTTTCAAGTGGATTTAGGAGAAAAGGATAGGCTACTTGGCTGCATGCACTAAGGAAAGAGTCAGCATGTGGCTCACCCCAACTCCTTAGATGGGTCCCTGGAAGCTGGGGGTCCAAGTTCCAGTTCAACAGATTCTTTTTTTGCTGGCCATGATCTTTTCAGGGAGGACTGAGCTGGCTGAGTGAGTTTAAGTATTCTTGAGTCTCCTGGCCAATGGTATCACTGCTTTAACAGTTATTTCATTTAATCCTGACCACAATCTTATATGATAGTACTATTTTCTCCCTAGAGGTGGTGAAAAAACTAAAGCAGACAGGTTAAGTAGCACATGTGAAGCTACAGCTGGTAAAGAGGAAGTATATGGGTCCGACCCCCTAAAGGGTCCCCCCCCAGCAGAGCCCTCCTGTCTGGTACCCTAAAGCCCCAGCTCATTTCTTCTACCAGGCCATGAAACAGCATGGGACCTTGACAAAGAAGCAGAAGTGTTAAACTGTTAGGGATGAGAAAGTCTTAAATTAGGAAGGAAACCATGTGGGAGAAGTCCTTAAAGCGATGAGGGGAGTAGTTTCTGAGAATACAGGGGAAAGGCTAACCTCAGACAGCACAGAAGAACCACTGGAGGGGACTCTTGGGTAGAATGAAAGGTGAGGATAAATGGAGGGGCTTGGAGGCATTTCTGGGGTCTGGCCCTGTGTTCCCCATCATCCCTGGTGCTCTGTGATGATATCTCTTCTGTGATCTTACAGCTCCTCATACTACCCCCAGCAGAGCCCTCCTGTCTGGTACTCTGAGTACCTGCCCCTCTACTGGACCAGAGCTTTGTGAGGAGAGGGATCACATCTATCCATGTCCCTGTTGTACACCCACCCCTGGCAAAGTGTTGCGTGCTGAGCCAATATTCCATTAAAGAAGTATGAGAAAAAGAGGGAAGGAGACAAGGCATGTTGAGAGTGGAGTGCAGGTGAATCCTCAGCATGGGGACTTTTGAGGATATAATTCTGTTGTAAAGTACAGGGAGGCAGACTGGGGAATGCAAATTAATACACAGTTCAGGTTTCTCAACATACCTTGACCTTTGATCCCAAAAGGTGGCACAAACTCCCGGATCCTAGCCCACTTGCGAAAGGAGTCGTCCAGGAACATGGGTGCTGGCTTGGAGAACCTAAAACGCAACAGGACTTTTGAGGATCACAAAAATGCAACACTGGAGTACTGGTTGGCTCCTCCATGTGGCATCTCAGCAAGGGGTCTGCAGAAAACCATGTCCATGTTCCAGCACACCCTCCCAGCCCCGGCCTGGTCACTGGGGAGCTGCCGGTCTTGCCGCGGGGAGTCTGAGTGCGAGGGAGCAGGCCCGCTCAGTCTTTATTTGGCCAGCTGTACAAGTGGAGGTTATCTTGCATCCATCTACAGTCAGTGCTGCCTACTTTGTTCCTGCAATCTGGGCACACGGGATAAGACATGGTCCAGTGAGCAAAAAAAATATTCAGAAACAGCCAGTGCAGAAAGACACAATTGCGGAGATGATCAGACCACCCAGAGCGAGAAGGAACTCACGGTGAGAGGGCAAAGCAAGGCAAAAGTTACAGGAAACAGATGTTTGGTAGCGAAGGCAAAGAAAAGCCAGAGTGGTGTGAACAGGAGGCAGGGCTGAGAGGTTTTCGAGCCAGCAAAAATTGGGGTGCATTTGCTGGTGAAGAGAAAGGATGAGGGAACCTAAGCTCCTGCGGAGGTAGTGAAAGGGCCTGGAATGTGAGGGCAGGAGTTCATTTCTTGGCCTGGAGGAGAGCTGGGAGTTACCTGGGGAGAAAGGAAGGCGAAGGAGCAGGGGAGGTGGGAAAGGCTTTTCACTCCTGGTGGGCAGGGCAGGTTTTAGGCTTAGAAGTGAGGCACAGAGGCAAAAGTAGAGGAGCCAAGCTCTTCACAGAAGCCTGGAGAACACGATTCACCCAGAGCCTAGTGTCCGGTCTGAGGCCCTTCCTGGAGCACTGGCAGCCCACAAATGCTGAGTCTCACTGTGGGCCTGCTCCTGGCCAAGAAGGACTGCGGATTCAGGCCTCAGGGCCTGTCTCTTTCATTTCTAACTCGCCCCTATAAGCCCAGTGAATAACTCGAGGCTACACAAAGGTCCTCTGGGCCTGGAGGCTAGAACTTCCCCTAACACACCATATGCACAAGCATCTATCTGTTTCTCTTCCTTACCACCACCAACACCCTGTCACCACCACCCCAGCCGGAGTGAGGTCAGCAGTTACTCAGGGGTCTAATATTCTCTGACTTTGACAGGACTGTTTTGTTTGTTTGTTTTTAGTACTGGGAACTGACCTGACATGATCTTGAAAGAGGCAGAAAATGTTTGACCCTGCTACTGCCCTATGACTTGTTGCTGAGAAGATGTGAACAGTCAGCAGCAGTGGTGCTGCCAGGCTGCGCTGTACAATGGCTTTTCTTGGCTTCTGGGTGCCAACAGCCGAGTTAGTGCCCTTCCCCTGTGTACAAGGCTGATACCTATTTCTTGTGCCTAATATTAAAAAATCTAAGAAAATTAATATACATAGGGTTTAACCAGAGATACTGAAGATCCTGGCTAGGGTCTATGACAAGAACCTATACATCAAAGGAAACACCCGGGATACGCCCACCTCAAAGCCCACTTCTTCTGTGTCAGAACTGGGTTTATAGCCAGGCGTGGTGGCGCAGCTCTGTTTTGTTTGTT